TAGATACATGTATTGGTTATGTCTCCTCAAGCTGGGTGTTCCAGTTCAAGTCGAGGTTCCTTGGGCAATTTTGTTCGTTTTCTAGTTCTGAGGTATGTTAGAATTTTTTTTAACTTGGGTTTTTTTTAATTTCTTAATATATGTATTATCACTATGAACTTCCCTCTTCGTGGAGCTAGTTTTGCAAATGAACTCATGGTTTTGTAAAGTTTTATTTCTATTTTCATTCTTGTTGATTTCTTCTTTTGTTATTTCTTCTTGACTCATGAATGGTTGTTCAGGAATGTGTACTTCCATGATTTTGTGGATTTTCCAGCTTTCTTTCATGTTCAATCTGTGTTTGTTTCAGATTTCCACTGTTTTTTCCCCTGGTCTCTACCTATTTTCATGGTGTTAATTCTTACAGGTATGTTCAGTTTCCCTTATTTTGGGGCCAGATATACCATAAGATTTTTGCTTGTCATTACATTGTAAATTACATAAAAACAGTGTATTTTTGACGCTGACGGGCAACATATCTTTTTGAAGACTGAATGGCTCTGCACCTTTCTGCCTTCCTTTTATGATATATGTCAATGTTGTTGCCAATTTACCTCTTCTTCTGTAGTCATGTATTTGTTACCAGTTATTTTTACTAGTTTTTGCCTTTTAACTTTTAGAGCATAGTGTTAAGTGATAAAATTGGACACACCATTCCTTACATAGAGGTACATTTTCAGAATTTTTCACCTTGTCTCCTCAGTATTTTGTGTATTTTCATGTTTTCATGGCTGATGAGTGGTCTATTTCATCTTAAAGAGCTCCCTCCCTTCAGCATTTCTGGATGCTGGCAGCCTTGCAGAATTTTGGTTTGTGTCTGAAAGGTCTTTTTATTTCTTGTGAAGTTATAGCCTGTTGTGCATAAAAGTTATTCTTAGTTGCAGTTTTTATTTTCCTCATTTTGAATAATAGGTTACCCACCCCTGTTGAGTTGTAGACACTGAGAAGTCTGCGACATATTCCACTTGGGTTCCTTTAGAGAGCCATTTTTTTTCCTGGGTGCCTTTTAAAATCTGTTTTATCACACATTTTTTGGCTAGTTCCTATATATAATTTGTCTGGAGAAGGTTTTTTGTTCTGAATAATTCTTCTTGCATTAGATGTTGTATTAGTTTCATCAACTTCTATACCACACTTCCTTCCCATAAATTGTCAGCTGCTTTGGTTTCTTAAATAAACTCTTCGTCACCTTTCTTCTTATTTCTTCTTCTGAACCCCACTACTTCCAGAATTTTCCCATCATTCTGATGGAAACTGATGGTTTTGCAGACTTTCTTCACTATTTTAAATCTGAGTTCTTTCTTTTCTTCCAACTGTATTTGTTCTATATTCCTTCCTCCAAGTTACTTTTTTTGTTCATGAATGTAAATTTTGCTGCAATATATATTGTATATTCTTTTCATCTCATTCACTGAATTTTTCAGTTTCTTGTAATTTTGTGTAGTTTGTGTACATAATTTTTATATTTATGTTTGCTAGTTTATATATTTGAGTACATTTGCATATTTATATATATATTTATAAATATACATGTAAATTTCTGGGAAATAGTCCTTTTGGTAAAAAACTCCTGAGTTCATTAATTTTATTCTGATTTCATTGAATTGCCTTTGGATTTTCTTTTGTGTAACTCAAAGTGAATTTTTCATATAATATTGATTTTTTAGAACAATTTATCCATGCCTTTGAGAGTTCAGCTACATAGAGTGTTATTTTGTGTGATAAACATTTCTTGATTTTTCATATTGTTCATAGTTATGCTGCTGCTGCTTTTTGTATTTAAAGTGGCAGAGACCTCCTAACAAAGCGCAGTGACTTTGTTCTAAATCCACTCATGCTGGCTATTTAAAGTCATATGTCCTAGGGCACTCAAGAGGTGGTGCTATAGCCTGGGTTATTCTCTCCTCTCCCGACTAGATCCATTTTTGCCAGCCCAGGTCTGAGTTGGAGTCACACCTTGACACAAGGATGCAGAGAGTAGAGGGAGGTGCATTTAGCGCCCGAGGCTTTGGGGTTCTCTGCCCAAGCCCCTTAAGAACTGGTTCTCAACCACTAAACACACCAAACACTTCATTCTCAGGAAAGTCCTTCATCAATTAAGAGTTCATTCCTGATTGTATCACTTGTGGATGGGGCTGGCGGCAAGTTTAGGTCATATTCTCTCCCACTCACAGCTTGGTTACAGGCTGCCATTATGGTACTTGCCATAATAATACAGTTAATAATACATTATGGTGGCATGGCATGAATAGCCATACTTTACATTACATGCATACATCTCTTTAACGTGTTTTTTAATCATCACTTGATATGTAGGAATTGGACAGTTTTATTTCTTCACATGAGAAACCATTATAACTGTGGATCGACCTTGTATTCCGCTATGGTGAGGTGAGTTCAGGATCCTTCACATTAACATCTTGTCTACAACCTTCCTATTCCTTTTTTTTTTTTTTTTTTTCCTTGCTCCTGTGATGAATGCTTTCAATAGATATTCATCTTGTTTTCAAGCTCATTGATTCATTCCTTTCAAGTATGATATGTTGAAACTTTCATTGAATTTTCAGTCTGCGAGATATATTCTTTAGTTCCAAAACTTGTGTTTGAAACCGTGTAGGTTTTAACTTCATTTTGTTTTTATTCTAGGTGTTTTCTAGAATAGCACATCTAGAATAATTATTTTGAATTCTTCTATTAGAAAAAACCCCTTGGATTCTCCACTTCCTTACACCTCAGTTAGTGGAGGCCATCAAATCTTTTGATGGAGTCCCGTTTCCCTGATTGCTGGAACCCCGCTTTTGCAGAAGGTGTCTAGTTTGGTTTTGGAAGCAGCTCATCTCTTCCATTTTCTCAACTAAGTCTTTGTAGTGGAGGACTTCAATCTGTGGGTAAGGGCATGTTGTGCATTCCTGGCTCTCAGGAGTAGAGCACTGGTGGGGCATGTGGCAGGTACTGGGTCTGGGGGCAGGTGTTGTCCTCTTACTGAGCTGCTAGGTGCAGATCATCAAAAACTGCATGGTTTCATAAGCATTGGCTGGTGCCTGGCACTGGCCACAAGGCAGGGCTAGAGTCCTCAGTGGTACCTCCTGGTCCACACCAGCTATGGATCAGAATAGTGCAGTAGTGGCTGAGAGATGCACACACTGAAGTGCTGAGGCCAACTGTGCCCATATAGTGTCAAGGGCAAGTTGCAGACACATAACGGTAGTGGGAGCCAAGTGAACATAAGCGTGTTGGGCTAGGGCCAAATGTGGGCACGTTAGTACGCAGGCAGCCCTGATATCATGAACTCAGCTGGCCGCTGGTCTCAAAAAAATGTGTGCATGGCAGTGGAGACCAGTTATGAGGTGTTCACAGGCCTGATGCAGGTGTGCAGCTGAAGGATTCAGGTAACAGCAGGGTGCAAGCTAGTAATGGAGTGCTGGGGGTAATTTGAAGAGCTAGCATTTTATCTGAAAACTCAAGGGGTCTGGGAGACCATGACTGTTGGTGTGTTCTCCCACGCCAGTCTCCCCAAGGCTACATGTGTACTGCACTTAAAGGACACACAATGGGGTCAGCCTGCATTGTGTCAGGGGCTTAGAAGGGAAGCTGAAATTCCTGGAGGCAGCACACAGCAGTGGGGGAGACAGATCACACAGGAATCTGTTTCTTGCACTCCCAGACAGCCACCTGAGCTGAATGGCTGCCAGGCACACAGCTTGACCCAGAGAGTGGGCTAGGAGAGGTTAAGAGTAGAGAGGGAT